TTGCACGGGGCATGACCCCGCAGTCCTGTAGACTAATTTCCTCCTTGAGTCTTTGATTTCCACCTTCCTGAGCTCCAGATAGGAAGAGATCAACGATTGTGTCGTAGATGGCCACTCACAAGCTTTTAAGACTCCAGACAATATCCAACAACTAGGATGTAGAGCATTCTCTTTATGGATGATGTTATGCCAGGTCATCTAGGTGTCCCTTGAGACTCTGGTCCTTAGCCTTCAACCCTAGTAACTTAGTCTCCAACGTGATTGGATATGTCTAAGACATTTCCCTAACTACACCCCTTATGTGCTCTGTTGTAAGAATGTACAAGCAGCACATACAAATATGTATATCCAAATACCCACAGCTGTACTTATACTATGTACTGGTAGTCTCGCCCCTCCACTTTCCCCCATCTATATAGCATACATATCTACCTACCTAACCATTCACAAATTTTGGCGGTTGGTACTATTGTCTCAGAATTATATATGGCATAGTGCTTACTTTAGGTGTCCTTTATTCTTTCGTGTCTGTCAGTATCTTCATTTGCCTTGGTCCCTCTTTACCTTTTCCTTTATCAGAATCAACACATGTTTACTATCTAGTATGTGATTCTCCCACTTCCACCCCCATCCCAGCTAACCATCAGAGAATGTTGCTTTCTGAGTAAACGTACTCTTAACTTTTTATAGTTCCTTTTATGGCTGACTTATTTCACTCAGCATAATGTCCTTTAGATCCAACCATGTTATTAGGATTTTTGTGAACTCATTATTTTTCATCACTGCTTAAAATTCCCTTGTATGTATCACAATCTGTTTCTCTATTCATTCATGGGTGGATTTCTGCACCACCACCCCCATCTTTTCGCTATTGAGAGTAATGCGGCAGTAAACACGGGGGGTGCACACTCCTATTGGTGTCACTGCTCTGCTTTCTCTAGGCTAGGGGGTCCCTGTGAGTCAGAATCCACTGGGTAGCAACAGGATTGTAGATCATATGGCATTTCCGGATCTAGAAATAGCTTTCTGATCTGGACAGGCTAGCCCATTTCCCATAGTGGTTGTGCCAGTCAATGACTCTCCTGGCAAGGTACAGAATCAGGGCCGCTTTTTGCGGGGTCCGATGGACCGCGTTGGAGCGCAGTCTGCAGTCCTCATCTGTGCTTTCAGGCCTGGAGCATGGTTTGCATTTTTATTCTCATTCTGCATTTCCTCATTAGCAGTTATCCACGGACGAAGACAAAGATCTTAGTCATTGAAATCTTTTATCTTCTGGAGCTAGAAAAACTCTCCATCATTGTTTCCTTTCTTGCTGACTTATTAAAAGTGCATAAAAATTGCCAGTTGAATATTGCTAAGAAAAACCATGGTTTTGACTCGTTAAGTCCCTATTTACTATCGAGAAGACTTCATTCAACCTTTGGTTTTAAAAGATTGCCCCCACACTGTTTATTGTTGCTTTTTTGTTTCAACCGGGGACGGAAAAGCCCGAGGTGAGGCTGTACAAAGTTACTGTGCGATGCTTTGTCCTATGGCTTTATGCAGAACTGCTAAAGATACACGCGAGGGATCTGAGGGGACTGTGCATACCTTGCTGGAGTGCCCTTTTCTCTGCACAGTCACAGGCCTGTGCACGGGGCTCTGCTGACAGGCCGTGCTAACCTCCCTCCTTCCCTCCCCACGCTTCCTAACTGCATTTTCAGACCGAGTAATTGTATTTGCCCTCTGCAGACATAAATATACAAACCTTTCCCCAATAAATTCTGTTTCGTGGCTGATTAATTTGATGTGTTTTGAATTGGATGGTTATAAAAGGTCACAAGGTCTCACCCATATCCCTGGGAGTTAGGAAATTACCAAGGGATGGATTCTTTGGACCAGAGGGTGACTCGATTTGGAAACAATTTACCTTCACCCTCCTTCACACCACTGCAAAATGCCTGGAAGAAGCTGGCGTCAGCGAGTCAAAGCTGAAAGTCTGGGGGTTATTTTTCTTTAAAAACATAAATGGGGTGTTGGTATTTTTCAGGCAATTAAGAACGAACATCTCAGGGCTCTGGTTGCAGTTCTCTTGCTGCTGATTAGGTATTCCTTGGTGGTGATTAGTGAATGTACAAATGCAATCATTTTGTAGGGCTTAATCACTCCGGGAGAAGTTAGCTACCCAGAAAGAGAAATTGAAGCTTGCATAACTTCCATTAGCCCTATTTTTTAATAGCAAAAAAAAAAAGAAGAGGAAAAATGTGGATGAAATTAGGAATATTACGTCATGTAAGATAAATTGCAGTTTAAAAGCAACAACCTGGGGATATGGATTGATCATCATTATGAAGTATATTTTTGGTAATAGAGGTAACCCGTAGCCCATCAATATATGGCTTCCACATACCAGACCAGACCACATACCAGACCAGACCAGACCAGACCACATACCAGACCAGACCAGGTTTTCCCTGGGAGAGTAAGATGTGCTCTCTGTGGAAACGGGATGGTTGGTCACCCTATTTCACCCCTGGGGCCCTTTAACAGCATGTGAGGCGGTGGGTGGGAAGCTTTTCCGCACTGCCACTGTATCCCTTCTCCCTTGGCACCCTGCATATCTTCTTCCACTGCAAAGTCTCTCCCCTCTCCTGCGGTTGGTAAAGAGCCCCCAGCCCACATGGAATAATACAGCCCAGGATGCAACTGCGGAGAGAAAGAATGTGGCTACCACTCAAGTGCAAGCAGTTATCACTGACTATCTGTGCGGTCTAACAACCCCTTGCATAACTTAGAGGGCTGAAGCTAGGTGCGTTGACTCCAGTGATGCCGAGATTTGGGAGGTCCTCCTTGGTGAGACAAGGGCTAGAGCTGGCATAGCTGGGGACTGGTCAGACACCTGTCTTTATGTGGCTGGGGCCCTCCAGCTTGTCTATCTGCTTGAGCTCGTTTTAGCTTGCTCACAGAATGGTGGCCTCCAGGCAGGTGGATGCTCAGCTCAGAGCTCCCGAGCACGGATTCCAGACAGCATGTCAGAAGCCACAAATGCCACATAGCCTCATTCAGGACATCGTTTCCACCAGCCTCCTGAGAGTCAAGAAGGAGAACCCAGAGGCCGCTTCCTGCTGGTTGGAATGTTTGGGAGATATCATTGCAGCCACCTTGGGAAAATACAATCTGCCACAATTAGCATGGTCCGGAATGTTTAAAAATTGTACTTTTTCATAAATAAGAGACAGTAAAGGTCTTAAAATGTATCTTTTTTCTCTCATGAATTTTAATAGGCCAATTTTCATTTTGAATGCAAACAAAAATGTTAGCCTGGAAATGTTTCTTGAATTGCCTTGAAAACCCTTGTTCCCCATTGTTCTACCTGAATACATATATGTAGTCTATATATGTGTACATATATGTATTCTATATATGTGTACATGTATGTATTCTATATATGTGTACATATGTGTATTCTATATGTGTGTACATATATGTATTCTATATATGTGTACATATATGTATTCTATATATGTGTACATGTATGTAGTCTATATATGTGTACACACATATATATTCTCTTTACATACACACACGTGGATATATATTTGTATTTGTGTGTATATGCAAACATAACACATTTAGAGGCAGTCTCCAAGATTGTGAATATCAAATTTGTATACAACCAACAACCCTGTAAATCCTATTAGAGTTAACACTCAAGGCACCTGCAATGTTATATAATATCAAATAGGCACTATTCTGCAACATACATCAAAACATTATTACTATATTATTATGTTTAAGATGTTTTAGTGTGTCTAGGCATGTTTCCTCAATGCTTCTGATGCACAGAAAGATACCCTTTATGCTATATTCTAAGAAAACCATTTGGCTCACTGATGTTAGAGCCTACCTAACTGCTCTCAGGTACAAATTTGACTTAACTCCTAATTCAAGAGCTCACGTGTAACCTGGGAATGGCTGTAGAAATATATATGTATATGCTCTCTCTCTAGTGTACCTTGAAGGCACTTCTAACAGTGGCCCAGAGGACAGAGCAGAAGGACCCCATACGGTTTTCTAGGTCTGATCCTGGCAGGAGCAGAGGACCGGGTCTTCTCTCCCATGGAGCTACGGATGGGGTGACCATCCAGTTAACAATTGAGTGCTTAACCACTGTGCACCAGGGCACCCTGTGCGTGTTGATACATGCACATAATATGCATCAATTTATCTTTGTACATGCATGCACTCATTTTAATATCCCCTCTGTACAACTGATGATGGTAGGTAACGCACCCATGCACACACGTGTATGTACACCCTTGGGATTGGAAAGTACCGAGTCATTGAGACAAGAGAAGGGCATGAATGGCAGAGGGCAACTCGGCCGAGTGGAGGCACCACGGTAGCAAAGGACAGAGAGACACTGAGGGCTGGAGAGGGGCCACGGGAGAAGGGTGGTGGCATCACAAGTGAAGGGCTGGCTTCCCCGGGGCCTTGGTTTGGTTTGATAACTTGCTTCATTGTGGCCACCGTGGCCTGCTCCATCTCTCTGAGACTACCTCTCTCCCACTGTGGGGCTTAAAATTAACTCTGTCCTGAGTTGCTTCCAGATAGACTCCAACGTCTCACTTCAGCATAAAATGAAGCTTTACCCCTGGACCCGGCAATGACTTGGGGAATTTGCTGATGGTACTAGCTTGGTAACGTTTCAGGAGGACGCGATATCAATCTTGATGATTTTTAAACTGATATTTTGTGGGCTTTATACGAGTGGGGGTTGCAACAAGTTTATGGGAAAACTCCATTGTCTTTCCATTCTGTTTTCCAGTCATTGTGAAACCCTCCTGATGCTGCACGTTGGCTGCTGTGCATTGTACTTGAGTTTTACTTGTTTGTCCTTAATGTCATATGCCATTCAGAAAAAAATTTCAAAACGCAGTGCCACAAAAAAGCATAGCAGGCAGCTTGTCACTCTGAGCCATCGTTTGTTTCCTAAGACCTGTTCTGTGTTTGGATTGTAGGAGTACTGTCACACGGTCCGGCTAGATTCGGGGATAGATTACCGGAAAAGGTCTCTTCCTGCTGCGGGAAAACTCTATTACCTGTAAGTTTTTCTTTAACCTTTACATTTTCTGTGTTCATGACCTAATAATGATTGAGGAAGAGATGAGGGGGGAAAAACAACAACCATGAAAGCCTAGTTCTGAAAGCTGTGATTTTTTTCAACAGTACAATGCTATCACATTAACTTCTTTAAACTGTTTTTTTTCCATCCACATTTGTGTCTTGGATGTGTGATTGGATGAAACCCTAATTAGTTTTTTGGGGAGGAGTGATGACAGATGGTTAGGAAGTAATGAGTATCGTCTTATAAGAGACTCTGGTCTTACAAAGAATGTCTTTTTTTCTGCACTAAAGTAATTAGTTATTTGGGGACAGTGTGTGACAAGTGCCATTTCTGTTTCCTCAAAATCATTTTATTTTGTTGAACAATCTGTTTGTATTTATCATTGTTGATTGAATTCCATAAATAATGAGTATTAAATGTACCTATATGTATATACAGCTATAACTCGATCTGTTTTATCTTTTAAAAGCTGAGCTTAATCTCCTGGTCAGGAGCAATGCGTAGTAATAATAATAGTATGTTTGGGTATATGCAGTTCCTGCCCGGAGAAAAATATTGTTTGAAATGTCATTTGTGAGACGCGGAAAAGGCCGAGGCAGTCTGAAAGAAAGCTGCGGTGCGTGCCAGCAGGATGCGGCACACGGCAGGTGCTCAGGAAAGAGATCTACGGGCTAATTGTGATGGGACTAAAGACCATATTCCTGGCACTTTAACTGTTGATGGCAGTGTATATACGAGAGGTTCAGAAAAGTTCTTGCCTCTACCACCTTGTAAGCAGAAGTACTTTACTGTTTTTGAAGCAGAAATTAGCTAGAAAAATCACATGATTAAAATTGCATACATTACAGGGTACCAAGGGGACCATTTCAGTTTATTATTCAGATTCTGATGATTATTATAGGAGGTTCTTCATCCTCCTTTAAGTACTTTGTCTTTAAAGTGCTTTATAATTTAAAAAAATCTTACAGCACTTTTTTATTATTTAGTATGTGCTTCTGAAAAAGTTTCTTTTATGTTTGTCTTTTCTGGTTTGTTTATTTCTGATATTTGCAACCTTTCTCTGATTCTTTGCTATTTCTCCATCTTACAGAGATGTAGTACTTATAGATTAATTTGCTATCGTTCTGTGTATTCTTTTGCAAAGGGGCTAAGCCTTTGTATCCTCCGCTTTTCGATAAAGGGTAACCCTGCCTGGGAGAATTACACTTCCCTAACAGGACATTCTTTAAAGAAACCCGGAAGTCTGCGTCTAAAGCATGAAGTCCGTTTCATGATGGGAGAGAGGTCTCACTGGCGGCGACAGGAGCTAGCGAAGCTGCCTTCACTTGGAGGATGGCCATTTCGCTCTCTGACCTCCCTGCCATGCCACTTCCTCTTCCTGATAAAAGAGCACAGTCCTAACACAATGAAATTGCATTTTGCATTAAACGTGTGCATTGGAGGAAAACAGTGTCAAACAATGTCCCAGAGTCCAGGAAACTACCTCTCCAAAGGATCTCAGGAGACCCTGGAACGGCTTTCCTAAAGCGAGAAACCCATGTCACCTTCAAGGTTGACGCGTGAATTGAACCTCCATCAACTTGACCATGGAGTGATGACCAAGAATAGAGAGTCTTGGGCCTCACCTTCTTCAAGGACAAGACAGATAATATATACCTTTGGAGAATGAGAATTAAAGTTAACTTAGCAGTTGATAATAATTGGTCCCATGATAGGGGGCTAATGATGCACATGCTATTGTTTTATATGACCAATTTGGTAGAACTTTTATCATGATAGAATTAAAAAAAAAATCCTGAGGTCATCTCACTATTTTCAATTTAACTATGTTTGCTTAATCTTATAAGAAAGCATATTAATCTATTTCTCACGATAACAAATCTTAATGCACCATGCTATAAAATGCTCTGTTAAAGTGTGTACATGTGACTTGTCACCTCTATTGTTTTGTTTATCTTCTTTTTCATGTCCCTTTTTTAACCTTCTGGAATTGGTTCCTGAATATGCTGGTCCAGATTGCCTTCTTGTCAATTTCATAGGAACCCCAAAGAAAAGCAAAAATTCTAGCCTTCCTCCAGTCACACCGAGCACCCGCTTAGAATTTCATACAAGTGGAATCCCATATAGGACCTTTAACAAAATATAATTATCCTGGTATTGTCCTCATCTCGCTGCCTCAAAGCCAATAAAAATGCCTGAAAAATACACTTCAATTCATATCAAAAATTAGCAGAGATATTAAGATGTATCGACAAAGTTGACATGAAATGTTTCCAGCAATTGTATTGTTTGGGATCCACAAAACCCAATCTGTACAAGATAGCACGTTTGTATTATAATACAGTTCCGTGGTAATTTTACATCACCTTACATTTAGACATCCTAGAGTACCATTAAAGAACCCAAGGATGCTGTAGGTTAGCACTGGACCGCTAACCACAAAGTTAGCGATTCGAACTATGAGTCATTCCAAGGCAGAAAACTGAGGCTGTCTCCTCTTATACAGACGCACAGTCCTGGAAGCCCGTACAGGGTCCCGAGGAGTCGGAATCCAGTTGATGGTGATGGGTTGTGCTTTTGTTTTAGACAGCCTTCATAATGAAGGCCAGAGCTTGTCCCTCCACCCCATATAAGGCAGTATCAGATAATTTAAATTTAACAGGTTACAAGTATCAGAGAGTTTTAAGTGTCACTATCCAAACTTTAAATTTTTTTTTTATTTTTAGCATTCTTTATTTAAAACATTTTAAATTTCGTGGTTGCGAATATACACAGTGAATGCTATACCAATCCAGCAGTTCTTCTTTTTTTTTTTTGACAGCTAAGCAAATTTTATTTAAAGAAAGTTGAAAAGCAGAGTGCAGTAAACAGCGTGGAGGTGGCCATAGCCAACCCTCTCTGGTCATGCCTAGATCCACATCTTTCTTTCTTTTTAAAATATTTTTATTAGGGGCTCATACAACTCTTGTCACAATCCATACATACATCAATTGTGTAAAACACATGTGTACATTCATTGCCCTCATCATTCTCAAAACATTTCCTCTCCACTTAAACCCCCGGCATTAGGTCCTCATTTTTCCCCTCACTCCCCGCTCTGGTTATCATCTTAGATATGCAGTGAGCATCTGTTTTCAGACAGGAAACCCCACTGTAAGGTCCCCAGAACACATACAAAAAGCACCCCCTCCAGATCAGAAGCCATGTCCTTAAGGCTTTTAAACTGAACTGAAAGGGGAGGAGTGCTGGGCTTGGGGTTTGACTGTACTGTGTTGTTAGTGCTAGCTGCCTTGAAGTTGGCCACGAACTCACGAAGACCCCCCTGCACAACTGAATGAAACACTGACTGGTCTGGAGGCATCCCCTCAGTTGCTTGGGGTTTCCATCCTTGTGCTCTCTGGGGTTTCAGTGGCTGATTTTCAGAAGCAGTTCACCAGGCCTTTCTTTCTAATTGATCTGCGTCTGGAAGCCCAGCTGAAATCTGTTCAGTATCACAGAGCAGCATGCAAGCCTCCACTGATGGTCAGCTATCTGGTGGCTGTGTATGAGGTACGTTGGCCGCCATTTAACCCAAGTAGCTTGTGTGGAGCTGGTGACATAGTAGTTGTGTGTTGGGCTGCGATCTGCAAGGTCAGCAGTTCAAAGCTACCAACCATATTCCAGGAGAAAGATAGGGCTTTCTACTCCTGTATAGAGTTAATCTCAAAAACGAATAAATAAATAAATTAATTAGATTTAAAAGAGTTAACCTCGGAAGCTCACAGAGGCAGTTCTACATTTTCCTGTAAGGTCACTATGAGTCAGTATTGGCTTGGTGGCAGTGATTTTTTTTTTAAATCCTATGTAGAAGGCAAGAATTCTGCCTACTGAACTATATCGCCTATTATTGTTTCATAGATGCTGGTAGAAAACAGAGACTTGGGTTGGAGACAAAAATTCTGTTACTCTCCATGGAACTAGCAGCATGAGCATTTTAACATGTTTGTGTCACTTTCCTCCTTGCCCTGCAGTCCCATCGGGCATCTCCAGGGCCCAGGTGGGTGCCTGCACAGGTACTCTGAGCTGGGCGAATCCGTCAGTACACAGCCAGACGTAAGCCAGTCTGCTCTCTGTCCCAACGGAGACGTTGTCTCATTCCTTAAGGTGGCTCGCTCCAAATGTAACCCTGAGAAGTCGTCTTGGCATATTCAGTAGGATGTGTTGTAGCATGAGAGACCCACAGAAGACCAGTTCTCCCAAGAGGAAGCATCTGCCAGATATTGAACCTTAAAGAAGGCAGACTGTCTCCTATTATTTTTGTTGGCTCCTACCCACCGACGAAGTCATCCACCCAAGTTATGTCAGCAGCTCGTTTTCCAGCTATTTCATACCTTAATTCACTTTCTCAAGACCTTTTCAGATTTCATTTATAGGGGGCCCATGGATCATCCTGAAAAGTGATGAAAAATACAATGTATGCTTTCTCAGACACAGCTCACATATTCCCATGGTTTTGCCTGGGTCACATAGTCTGGTAGGTGTTGGACTGACGGTCGCTGGGTCAGCAGTCCAAGCTCGCCAGCCGCTCTTTGGGAGAAGGCTATGACTATGTGTCTGCTCCTGGGGAGATACACAGCCTGGAAATTCAATGTAGGGTCGCCGTGAGTGGAAGTTGGCTTGACAGCAGTGCGCTTCATGTGATCCATCCATTCATCTACCTCTTGAGCAGATTCCCAAAAGAAATTTATTCTCACATATTTTTACCAATGGAAATTTTAATCGTGAGTGTGCTTAATTAATTTTGTCATTTGGCAAACACCTATTCCAAATAGAAAGTAATTTCTGGGGACCTATCCTTGAACATCAATTAAAAAACAAAACAAAAACAGACCCCAAACCAAATAGACACTCTCCCCCCACCCCCACCCCCAACAACAACAGCAACACCTAGTTAGCTGGTCCAAACCACAGAGAGCGCGTTGATTGAGAAGAAGGAT